TATTTTTATTTTCTAACAGTTTTTTTATTATTTTATTATGTTCTTTTGTGTGAATGTTTAAGGTCCAGTGATGACATGAAATTCACTGGTCGTATTTATGATTTTGTTTAGTTCTCTTTTTTCTAACTTTTTTGTTACTCGGTTCCTGGGGCTTTTGGTTTCCCGGGATTCATAGTTTAATATTTTATTTGTTTGTTTTCTTTGTTAGTTTTTTTGAGCACGGCCGGGTCTCTGGCCCCTCGTTTGTTGTTAGATGGGCCGGCCCTTGTGATAAGTCATATGACCAAGTGTTCTTGGTTGGGTGGGCTGAGGGCTGCGCCCCCGTTAATTCACCCCCTGATTTGGCATTTTTTGGGAGTGAAACTAAAAATAGTGGAAGTTTAGTGAAATCATCATGAGATGAGAGTACATGATCTGGTCCCGTATATAGGATGGTACATGGGAGAGGGAGTGACATATTGTCACGTGAGACGAATCCGGGCATCTGGTTCGTTGCAGAGATATGTCAGAACATATTTCTTTCGTAACAGAATACAAAAAAGATAAGCATTTGATAAGTATTTTTCCATAAATGAAGTATAAACGAATTATGGCAGACTAAAAACACTTAAGTAGGGAAATTTTTATTTCCACAGATTGAGAAGGCAACGAAGGGTCTAAGATATTTGTCTTCTGTTAAGATCTCGTAATGAAAAGTGTTGAAGAATTGCATAAACTCATATTCCTTAGCGTCACGAAAAAACTTTTCATTAGCCTTATACAAACCAATACTCACTCATTCACATGTCTATTTAAGCAACATTACAGACCGGAATTCCAACATGCATCCATTGCGCACCACATTGTCTACCACGTAATTTGCAAATTTCCGGCACTAAGTGCAATTTTTTGTTCGATTGTATTTAATAAATAATTACAGCATCGGAGATGGATTGTAATATTAATTTAGTGAGCATATTTTTTTTATTCTCCTTTAACTTTGATTATCAGTGTATTTTACATTTGTTGTTTCATCAAAGTTTCTTAGCTATGAGCTAGCTATACGACTTTTTTATATACAAATATCTTGGCAATAAAGAAATTTACATGCATTACACTAAAATCATAATTCTAATATTATACTCTAGAAAGTGTAGCTTTGCCAGGAGTTAAAACATTTTCTTTCGATTTTTGCCTTACCTCTGGCCATTGAATACTGGTAGGTCGATGGAAGTTCACATTGTAGGCTGCCTAGATGGGTACTGTTTTCCAAATATATAATTGAACACGAATTTTCTTTTCTTTTTTAATTCAAGTAACCTTCGAGTTAAAACTTGAGCTTCGTTATAACGAGTTAAACAAATAAACAAACTTTCCGGAATCGAGCCTTTGAATTGGGCTTAAATATGTGTAAAAATGAGCTTTTTTAGGATTGCAGATATGAAGCATTATTATAACAGATACCTACCTGCATTTGGGGCTCTGTGGCTAATGAAATCCGCCCTTCAAGAGGGCGCTGCTAGCACAGTCTTTGTAACAAAATTTTGTTTCTTAATTAACAGCCTGAAATATAAAAAAAAAAATAAATAAAAAAAAAAAAAAAAAATAAAAAAAATTCTTTCACACTCCCTTAAAATAGCGCTCCTTCCACTCAGGCGCCTTTGTGAGAGGCACACTCGCACGGGATGGCCATGCTTTCAACATACATTACATGAAGAATAAAATCATTTGAGTTGATTATTAGGTGCTACTGCCTTCTACAACAATTAGTTCTAAGAAATGAAACTTTGAAATGCACGACGTAGCGTAGAAGTCCTTTCGCTTTTCGAGGGATCTGCAATGAGTTAAATGAAACCTTATGAAAATGTACAGTTCTTTTGCAATGACGTCACAGTGCATTTGACAAAGAGGTCTCCTGCATCACGAAAGGAGTTGCCACTGCGAAAGACATACACTGGCTTCCAAAAGTTAAGCATGCAATGCAAATTAGCACATTTCGAAAGCATAATTGGATTTCAGCGGATGCAGATCGCACTATGCAAATATCGTAATTTATACCCAATGACTGTCCGAACATATGCTAATTAGTTAGTGGTTACCACCAAGTCTTTGGTATTCTGTCAAATATTCAATTTTTTATACGTTCTATGTAACGGTCCCAATATCCTAGTATCTCTTCTTTGCCCGCATTCTTCTCTCCTTTAATGGTTTCTTGGCCAGCTTCACCTTTTCTTTGAATGCAGCCATCTTAATTGCTCACCATCACTCTTCTCACCAGCATTCAATTCCACATTGGATACCAAAAATTGTTATGCGCTACGGGTTCGTCAGGGATTGAATGCTTACGGTATCGATGACAGCTTAATAAAATTTATTTCCAGAAAAGAAACACTTTCCAATTCTGGAACTTTCCACAAAAATATTCGTACAGCTCTTCTCAATATGATAGAACACAATCAGTAGTTACCCCTTTGAACTACCAAGAATGTTAAACATAATGCAATGCTAAGCGCACGTAATAAGTGGGGCTCGTATGGAGGTCTCTCAGTACTCAGTACTTAGAATTGATGCTGTATTCGCTCTTACATAGTTTTTCCCGACCGCCGGGATATTTCAAGTACCTAACATTTCTTGAAATTGCTGAAATCCAGTGTCGCCAAATAGTCGAGGAGTTTGGCAACAACAATTATTCTCGAAAACATTGCCAGCTTGGCGCTATCTTGCGAATTTGGTGAGATAGCCATTTGCCTCAATTTTAAATAGACTTGGCCCTGTAATCTTACTTTTCTGGCAAAGCTTCGCCTTCTTACAACACTTCGTGCTATATCATATAACAGATACTAGAATTTTAAACATAACTTCACTACAATTATTTAGATATATACAAAATTCGTAACAACAGAATAAGGTTATGTAAGGATAACAATAAAGGAAATAAGCAGACCATGAGAAGCAAACATTGTTTAGATTAGATAATTAGAAGAAATGATTTAAGATTAAAAGATACAAGTCATAAAATCCTAACTATTCTTCCACGCAATATTCACCTGCAGGCATTATTCCTATTTTTTACTAAAATTTTCGATGATAAAATGCTTAACCAAACCAAGAATTTGGACAAAGTGGAATACTCAAACTCTATTAAAAGTTTGTCACTAGAAGACAGTAACAAATATGCACGATTTGATACGAGCAAGAATTGAATGATGAATACAATCAAAGTACACCCAACTATGAGTTTAAAAATATGCATATCTGGGGGATTTAAAATATTACTATTTACACAGTTCTGTGTTGTATCTCATTTTAAGCAGATGAATAAATAAATGGGATACTTGCATAAATTAAATACTTTAAAAACCTAAATGAATTTTTCCTTATAAAAATATATCATAATCACCCTTATCAAATTTAGAAAATGAAATAAACAACCAAAACAGTCATGGAATAAATTATTGGAAGATCTACTTTATAAAATTAATATATTATTTCGAACTTCAGACAAACTTAAATCATCTATAATTACTTCAAACTACTGCTGAAATGGAATAATTTATAAGAGTTTCATATCTTAAAAATAATAAAATGATTAACAGCTAAAACAACAACAACAAAAAAGATAATTCTACCTAAAATGAAATTCTTCAAAATAGTTCCCATTTGATATTCATTCATTAATGCTTTCTTGATACCCATTGATTAATGCTTTCTTTCTTCACTTAACCTTCTTTGGCTGTGATTTTTATATATTTTAAAATGTGTAGATTAGCAATTCCTTCTACATAACGGAAATAAGTTATAAATACCGAAAATACACCTAAATTAACGCTTTTAAGATAGAAGAAAGGAAGATTTAACAAAGATTAAATGAAAGGAAGATTAAAGGAAAGAGAAGAACAAAGAAAAGAAGAAGAATGAAGGAATAAGTTTCAAACGTTTTTTACTAAGGACAAATTTTGACATTTTATAAAGAATTACTTACAAAGATACACTTCATGAAGGACTCTAAAGTACTACTTTAAGATTTTTATTTATTTTTTTTTATATGGCACTATATGGCAATGTAAAAACCTTTTATTTATTAATAAATACTAGATAAGGGTGGACGTGGGGAGAACCGATTAACCGTAATGGTAGGGGGATGGTGCTCACGTCCTCCGTTACTACTACTACTACTACATTAACACTTAGTTTAAACAAAATCTATAGATATATCTCACCATTTTCCATATTTTTTTTGCTACAGATATATATAGAGAGAGAGGGACCATAAATTGTTATTATCACAAATACTTTGTTATCCTGATCCTTTTCTCCCTTCCCATAATATGGCTTGAATATCATTTAGAGAAAAAAAAATCATCTTAACAGGTTAAGCATTTTCAATTACTATTCATAATTTTTTCCTACTTAAGTCACAGAAATAACCTTGGAGGGGAAAAATGTCCTTGGAATATAAGGGAATAACATTTAATATATGCACAATATTATGTCCCTCTCCAAATACGAAATGTATCAGTTACTTTTTCACATCAAGTACAAATGGTTATCCTCTTATTCTGTAAACTTGTATAACATTAATTATATTTTAAGACTGTTTACAATTTTATTGTAAAAAGGAGCAAAGTAACTGTTTTATCAAAGAAAATTCTTAAAATTAATTTTGAAAATATGAACAGATTTATCAGGCAGTCCCTATTTACTATCATTCACCTTTGCAATCTAATGAACTCCACTAGCTGGTTGTCCAAGGGATTTATTTATGCTTTGTTTTGGACAGAAAAATGTATCTTTGAGATATTCCAATATTCTAAGTGTCACTAAGCCAAAGGCCTATTCCAATTAATTATCAGTTTAGCAATAATAACTGAATGGATTTTAAGTGTTGTATTAAAAAATAATTTGTTTCATCAATTAAAGGAAACAAATTTTCTCAGATAATATAAGGCCTAGAAACTGCCCACACAAATTAAACAAAATCATAAAATACTTTCAATTGAAAATAACACCACGAATGACAGTTGGAAGAAAAAATATGCTTTTATTTATTGAACTCATATGGTCACAGACCTCAGGATATTTTACAGATATTGTACACAGTAACAACACATGCAATACTTTTGCATATTCGTGTGCAATGGCACAATTATCAATGTTCCCTTATACTGAACTGCACAACCACCCAGAAAAATAAAATCATATATAAAATAAAGATTTTACCCTAAATAATTCCAAAATATAAATTCTTTATCATATTTAAAAAAACAGACATAAATGAAACAAAATTAGAGGTCACAATTCTTTGAAGTGGATAATGCATTTTTTCATTACTTGTCTGAATATATAATCCTCTAAAATTTTGTGGAAATACCTCTTGTAATACAGTTATTTTTTTACATTCTATTACCTACCAATTAAAGCTGTAGGTGGATCAAGAGAATTAAAATGGATTTTGCCCTTTCCAAAGCATTCATTATTTATATTCTTTGAAAAAGTAAAATCTTAAAACACTGAGAAGTGATAAGAAAGGAAAGACATGTACTTTTATTTATATACTAGCCTTTTGCTTATGCCTATCTACATATTTATACACGTTTGTACAGAGAACAGCAAAATCAAGTAGCCTAATGATTTGAATGTAACTGCACATAGACACAGAAATGGATACATACGTGCATACATCATACAGAAAACTGTTATAAAGCAGAAAACTAATACGGATCATTTACATGAAGTTAAAAGTCAAAGTTAAATATATTTTCTTCTTCAAAATATTTTTTAAATATGTGCATTTAAAGTGCCAATACCAAAGTGCTCATAAGCATATTTATTTTACAAATAAATACACAGTCAAACAATTAACAACACTTTAAACAATCAAGATAGGGCTACCTTTGCCTTCGTCTGTACGTTGTACTTCATAGGACAGATATTAATGTATGTGCAATATTCTGATTCAACAAAGGAAAAAATAGAAGCTCTAAACATTAGAAAATCATTAAATTAATTTTTATTACATTTTAATACTACATTTTCATTATTAATTAGTTTGAAAAATGAAATGACACTTTTTTTCTTAATGTGACCAATAACTCCTCCATGTCATCAACATAATATACATATACTTCACTTGATCATATAAAGGAATTTAACCAAAATTAGCAATATCATATAATGCAACTCCTAATTAGGCTAAATTAGGAGCAAGCCAAACTGAGACAAAACACTTGCTGAAAATGTGTAACACTTAAATTATTCCAAGAAATATGAAAAGGATAAGGCATATATATTAAAACCCCTTTTCAACATCACACCAAAACACAGAAATCTAAACATTTTCAATTTTTAAAAACTATAAAAAAATAAAATGCATTTCAAAAAATTATCTACAATGAACAGAACTTTAAGAAATTACAGATATGAATAGGTTAAAAATGAAAGAAGTGTTCTTAAATTTCATTGCTTCTAATACAGAATTATATTACATACTTTGATTAATTTTTTTAAGAAATTTAGAAAACATTTCATAATTATATAAATGCATGTTTTTCATAGAAGATATTAATCTAATTTTTTTTAGCACTCTGAAATAAGGAATTCTTTGCTAGAAACTGCATTCTTAGATCACAGTTCTTGTTCCAAAAGCAACCCCCTCTCCAAAGAAAAACCTCACAAAAAGTCATTTATAAATAACAACTCATAACTTTAAGGATGTGAGATAGATTCATTTATACAGTTTTCTGCAAACGCAAAAATTGCATTTACTTGCAGATTTTCTAATTTAAATCATAGCACATAAAATAAGGAATATTCAAAATGAATATCTAAACAGAAATATGGTTTCTCTTGTCACTTCATAGGTATGACCACAAAGAAATTTTTGATAGTTTAATAAAGGAAGTTACATCAGAACTTGCAGAATTGCTGAAATATACATCAGAAAAATGAGCTCATAAATTAAAATCTTCAAAAGACATTCATCAAGTAATTTAAAAGTCAAACAGCTCAAAAAAATTCAAAAAGTAAACTCTTTTGAAAACTTACAAGATAATCAGATACTTGAATTATATTAATTTAAAATGTTTCTTAAAAATCTGATGAAATGTATTCAAATGTGCTTTCAAAATTGGCAAAAATCTATGCACACACACACACACAAAATAACAGCAAAGAACTTGAAAAATTATTTAACTGTTTCAACTTTCTAAATTAAAAAAATTTACAACTTTCTATTCAGATCTTAAATATGTTTAAAGATTTTACACTAATATCAATACATATTTTTATACATCAAATGGTTTAATATAACAAACAATAAAGTATTTTAATTCAAATATTAGAGTATTTTTCAGAAATTTTATGATCAACTCAATAATACACTTACATACATGAACAGAATAAAATTTTAACCGATTTCAAAACTTTTGAGAATTTTTCCTTAGCTTCTTATACTCTGACATCACAATCCAATACAATTCTACTTGGAAGAATAATTTCTTACAAAGATGCAACATTCAAATACAATAATTCAATGAACATATGGCACAAAAGTACATTACAATATTAATAATAGTAATTAACATATTACAAAAAGCTGAAGAGAAAGTTTGCACTGCAACATACAATCCAAAATTTACTAATCAACTAATAACTCCATATTAAGATTTCTTATGTAAATTATACATTTTATTTAATATATCTGTAAACCTTAAAAAAAATGTCATGCTTAAGAAATATGTAATATTACATTTATTTATAATCTTCCCATGTGGAAAATGCTTTTTATCTGCTGAAAAGATATAAACTATACTGGTTTTTACAAATAACACATTTTTTATTATATCAATATGACAGTGAATTCAGCTTCTAAACAGTAAAAACTGTAAAAATGGTTAATAGTAATAAAATGAATTACATAAAAAATATAAAAACTCGGAATATTTATTGAAGGTTTAAGGTTGATATAAAATTGTATATTATTATATAAAGTTTATGATAATCAAAATCTAAATTATATATTAAGTATCTGAAATTGAGAAAATACTAGTTTAAAAAATTATGCAAAAAATTACTTTATATTTCAAAATAGAATTTTATTCAAATTTTATATATAAAAATTTTTAGTTGACTGAAATTTAACAACAGTATTATCAAACTTAAATAAGAAAAATGTGCTACATTAGTATAACTTCATTAAAGTTCTTAATTGAAAAGAAAAAGGAAATTCCAAAAACAAGAATTTTAAAGGAACCACATATATACATATGCACACATAATTTAATTAAAATTATTATTACAGAAAATGAACATATATAAACTCTTATATATATAATAGTAAACTAATAATATAATAGTAAACTAATAATATAACTCTTATATATTATAATAGTGCTTCTCATTAAATTTCATACATGTGTCTTCAAAATTATAAACAGTCAAAACAAAATGTTCTAAAATTTGGAAACAGATGAAGATAACAGATTTAACCCTCTGAGCGTTACAGCTGGAAAATTCCATATAGAAGGCTGACTTCTACATTCATTAAACATGAAAATTTCTCCTAGCTTTTAGTGTATCTGATTTCGGTTTGGATGTATATTGGAAAAAAAGTAATCAAGGTACAAAATGAGAGAGTCAGTTTTTAATAAAAATCACGAAATTACCATGACATTTTGAGGAACTTTGAAATTTCAGGGCTAAACTCGTAATGCTCGGAGGGTTAAAAAACATCAATTACCAGCAACTGACTGAAACAATAAAGATATTATTTTCTCTATTTACAATATACATAAAAAGAACAAAATAAATGACTTATTGTCAAAACTAATAAGCTTACATGTTTGATAGTAACAAATAAGCTGATTTTGTGAGAACATAGTCCTTAATGCATATTTTTCATCATATTTACACAACAATCATTGAACAGCAGGGCAGACATCAATTTATGAAACAAAATCATCATGATATTGAACAATTAGACTTTTCCTGAACATTTCCATTAGCTTTCTCAATTTCTAAGATGATTGTCTTAAAAATATCACTTACACTCTAAAAAGAGAAAAAGAAACCATAATTATTATTAATTTTTGTATATAACATCACTCTGATGAAAGCATTTTTAAGGACCTGAAAAAGATTATTACGATTTTATTTCCTTAACTGCTAATAGTACACATGCATTTCGCATTATGCAGATTTTCAAAGCACAGTGCAGACAGAATTTTATAGAAACAGTTTTAACACTGGTTGTAAGAGAAAGCTATAAATATCAAATTTTATTTTTATATGTTTCCCCCAGAGTAAATAGTCCAATTTTAAATATTCCTTACACAAATATTATTAAATATAAAAATACCATACTTTCACATGTAATATTCAAATAGGTAAAGTTAATAATTTTAAATATAAGTCATAATTTAATCAGAAATGTTATTTTATCCAATTTGGAACCATTAATTTCAAAACAAGTGATATTTATTTTAAAATTGCATCTTAAATTTAAGGAGTTTTCCTTAAGTCCAACAAACTAGTTTTCCTCACATAATCTATACACAGATAGATCCTGTACTCTTTGTTATAATCAAAATAATCCAATCTAAAATCAGTTCATAAATTTACCTGCAAAGCACTGAATTTTGATCCACAATAGGCACTGAAAAGTAACTATGGTAATAAATATTGATATAAATTCTTTTTTATGTATGTCTCTGAATTGGAATATTAATCTTTTCCTAGGGGCTGGGACATGTATGTCCCATGCATTCACTGCATTAAATTACTCGAAAAAATTTATTTTATTATGGAGATCTGAAATTTGCGAATGATAATTTAGTCAAACTGAAAGCAAAATTAAAATGGCTTCAGTACATACAAAATTAGTCTCTATAGCCCATGTGCAAAGGCTAATGTATGAAACACTTCCTGTATTTCATTTAACCAAGCGTAATACTTATTTGATTTACTGGAATGTTTGCTATGCAGAGATAATAAGAAAAGTTAAGATAATATATTTACAGAACCTTTGTACAGTATTCAAAGTATATCCCTCAAATTCTCTACATTACTTTGAGAAAATTTTTATTGCATACTTCAAGGATCAACATTTATGAAAATAAAGACTGTAATACTTTTCTCAAAGTTAGTTTATAAAGCTAATAAAAATTTTTATATCTTAATGTAGTTCTTCTAAAAGAAAAATTTCTTTATATAGATGATATTTCATGACATTCCTAATACATTTTAAAAGACTAAAAGCTAAACAAAAGAGAGAATGCCCCCCATTTATAATACATATAAAAAGGTTCTTCTACACTAACTGCATTTAATAAATAGTGCATTTTCAGAAAATTCATTTTAAATTATGAATGCACTGTCATATGAATGAGCATTCTGATTATAGAAAAGACAACCATAAGAAAAATATGTCTTCCCTTTCAGGACTCTCACTCTCTTCTCCCAAAAACAACTAAGTATATGCATGTAGATCCAAGTAATTCATGACTATGCACTTACATGGATTATGATACCAAGTATGGTAAATGCTAGCCTTATGGATAATCAAAGCAATTACAAGTGAAAATACCACTTGGCTTCAAAATCTTTAAAGAACAATACAGTTGTTCTGCAATGACAATAATAAAATAAAAGTTTAAAAAAAAGAGAGAGAGATATTTTAATGAACATCCCTACACACACACACACACAAACAAAGAATTGTGCCAGAACTTTAAAGCTGTTTTTAAATATATAACTATATTTAATATTAGTCACTGCTATAAAATGAACAGATTTTATCTTTTTATACTTTCATAGCTCACTTCAGATAAGATTAGCAAGTCTTGATGTTTTAAAACCTGCTTTAACACGACCATTAATATTTAAATTATCATGATTTGTTCCAAAAAAAAAAGTATTGGAACTTGGAATACAACATAAAAGAACGCATATGAAAATGGTGATATTAAATTTATATGGTTAGACTGAACTTAATACTGGAACTTTAGTCCTAACAGACACATAGCAAATTTTCATTATGTCTGAGATAGTACAACAAAGTCTTAAAAAGGTTTTAAAACAACCTTTTTATTTAAACTGAACTGTTAACAAAACACAGCATAATTCATGCTACAGATAACTACAATTAGTGGCAATGCAAATAAAGTAAATAGTCTAAGCATACACAATTAAACAGCTATAAGCTGGCTCAATAAATTTCTGATGTATCAGCTTTAAGTATCGATGGCAAGAGCAAAGCAAAGATGGAGAATGCAAAGCTGAGATAGATACAAATAGCTAAGGTTGGCAGAATCTAAGCACACTTCGCTGCTGCCAGGAAACACTCTCTCTGTCAAGACTAAAAAAACTCAGCTTAAATACACAACCACCTAATTTGCATTCTGGTGAGGAATACAAAAAGAAATTGGAGATCAAAATAATTAAAAATGGTAAGTTTAGAATAAAAGCTTTATATGCTGAAAAATTGTTTTGCGAATGGCTGCCAGAGCTTGGCAAATTTGTAAAATTTTCAGACATTCAACTTAGGTGGTTGTGTATTAAATTACTTGCCAATTTTGAAATATGAAAAACTATGAGGTTTTCTAGCAAAAATGGAGAATATCCAGGTGGATTTCATGCTGCGCAGCAACTCCATTTAAAAAAAGCTTCAAATTGAATTTAATTTATTTTATATTGCATGTATTCAGGTTACTGAACTATCTGTACGTGCTAAAGTAAAATAAATTAATATTTAATTATACATTTTCTAAATTTTACATTCTTTGGCTAATTTCCTTTTGTAATTATCTCACACTTTTATATTAAGAAAATTCTGAGTAGGGAAAGAAACTTTTTACATATCAAAATACTTTTAAAAGACAATGAAAAAAATAATTAATAAACATACTATTGTGCAGTTAAACTCAATAATGTACAGTACATTAATGTAAAATAAAAATAATAACTGATAAAACATTAATTGCATTTTTGTAAAAAGTTCTATAAATGTTTTCAGTAGACCAAATAAAATTCAATACAAAAAATTATGCTGAAAATCACTAGGAGTGGGGGAATGGAATTTGAACAATTTAAATTTCAATAATTCAAAACATTTCTTTCCTTGATAAGGAACATTTTCCTCAATAATGGCTAAAAATTAAACTAGGAGATTCAATGATTTATTGGAAGAGCAGGATATAAGATAAAAACCCAGGATAAGCTAAAAATGAAATAAAATATTCTAGGTTGGCACACTAAAGCTACATTTAAACACATGAGTAAAAATAGCAGCTTTCACAGGTAATCCATTTGCTTGAAACAGTTAAAGCTGGATAGAATGGCTGGATCAAGTTTTTTCTCTTTACTGCTATACTTCTCAGAACTGATGTCCAGATATTTGGCAGAATGAAATGAAGGTTTCTGTATCAACATAATCTATCAGCAATTTTTAGCGCTTCTCTGATTAAAACTGCTTTTATGCTGGGGTTTGTTAATGATGGAGATATAACAAAAGATGCACAATTGACAGTTTATTATGAAAAGATGCACAAGCAAATTTAATTAAAGCCGACAATATTGTTAAAATAATTTAATAAAAAGGATAGTTTTTGCACTGGAGAAATGCTGTATTCATGGTACACAATGAAAATTTTTCAACAAAATGTTAAAATAAATCTCTTAGCCCAAATATATATTAACTCCAGAAATTCCAATTGAATTTTAACTGTATATCCTGGATTTTTAAAAATATTTAACAGCCAAATACTATTTTACTTATTGGCAGAAAATTATTTTAGATGCTAAATATATTTCATTGATTCAATATTTTACTACAAATTACATACAACTATTGTAATATGCTTTAAGCACTTTATATCACTTTTAAGTTTCTTTTTTAATATTTTAACTACATAACTAGTCACTTGTCTTGTAATTAAAAAAAGATTCGATAGAATATGAAATTACATTGCTTGTTTTGAACATTTCAAAATTATTATGCACAAACAAAATGATTAACAATTAAAATTAAAAAAACAAAATTATAAAATATTAAAAATATTTATTTTCTGAACAGTACATAATTTTTAAACATACCGCCATCAAACTATAATTTTCTGAAGTATGAGGGCTTTTGAAGTTAATTTATTTTTGAAGTTATTAAAATAGCTAATTTATCCAAGAGAGAAAAAATACTTCACTCTGTGTTTCTAATCATCCACTAAATTTAACTTCTGACTATTCCTAATACTTTGCTATTTTAAAATACACTACATCACAGAAATATGTATATTTCATGAGCTAACTCATTTTCATAGTATACATGCACATTCTTCCACTATTAAATTACAAAATACTACCGTCAAAAGTCTTTAATCCGGACTCGTCGGGACTTTGGCGATTCTGGATTATCGGTTTTTCAGGATTATAGATCATCAGTTTAAATCTGGTAAGATGGCATGCAGAAATTATAAAATTAAAAATATGAAACCATAATTTATGAAATAAAGAGCAATTATGACCTAAAGGGTATCAAAATTTACAAAAAAAAAAGCTTTATATTTATTTGTTTACTTTATTAAACATTAATTTCAACACGCATGCGTAAAGCATACATTACGCATAGTCGAAATTAGAAAATTGCGACCAGAAAACTATTTGATGTGTATTTTTGATATTTAAAATGACGAGGAATTTGATTTAAATCATATCAAAGACGGAGTACATTTAGTACGGAATTATAAGCCGAATAAAATAAAAACATCTGCCCTGAAGATAAGGATAGTGCTGAGAGATCAACTTACAGTTTATTGTACGCCGTGTCTCCCCCCCCCTGCAGAGGAGCGTGAAATTGATAAACATATTTTGGAATGGCTAGAGAATCAAAGGATATGCCTTTATCCATTTTTTTGCAGCAATTCCACTTTCTGTTTGATGGACATCGAAACATGCTTTCGCTTTGTAGATCCTTTGGTAGCTCCAGAATCAGAAATTCTTTTTGACATAATCGAAAGTTCAAGCTTACTTTATAAAATTGCTCTAACAGTCTGCAAAAAATAATAAGCCGGATTTCAATTAGAAGATTAAGGAACAACGCAATCTGCAACATTAACTGAAATAGATAATTAGATAATTTTAGCTTAGCTTATACCATCCGTTATACATTAAACGCGCATGCATAAAAATATTATGCGCATGCGTTAACACATTATGCGTTGATGCATGCACAAAAAGTTTGTAGCTTTGAGGTCCAGATTATAGATCATTCCGGATTAAAGACTTTTGACTGTATATTTTTCACATTTATTTACCTTTAAATTTAACTTCTCAATTAGAACCAGCTTCTAAATCTTTAAAATTGAACTGCTATTTTAGATAATAAAAACACAGATTTAATATTGCCTTTTAACTTATTCTCATAAAAGCATCAATTCTACTTACAAAATACATAAATGTAAATGAAAATCCTTCTACAGTGAAATATATTTGGGCAAACAAGTAGAACAAAAAATAGGAACCATACTCAAAGACATGATTCACAAGTCCTATACCCTTTGAGCAGCTTGATAGCTTATAACCAGTTATGAGATTTGCAATCATTTATTACAAAATTAGGTACTTTTCTGTTATCAGGACCAGATTCAGAAATGCTATATAGGGGAACCTCGAGAAGCACCTCTATATACGAGAAATTCGAGTAATGAGGAAAGTATGAGCAAAATATTTGTCTCTAAAATACGAGCACTGACTCGAGTAATGAACAATGACCGAGTAACGAGCTGTTGGTATGTGTCGTGCCATTTCCCGATCCGGCTCGACTCAGGAAATCCCCTCGTAAGATCACTTAATGATCTTTGATCTACCTGTTTGTGCACTTGTGAATCAATTGTTTATGACATTTGATGTGAAAATAATTGTTTCACAATGCCTCCTAAGAAGATTGTTGCCTCAGATAGTGCTGCAAAGATAAATAAGGAAGCCAAGGATGTTGAAATTAAGAAAGAAATCATAGATAAAGATAAGCGTGGTATAATGAGTGATGGAATTGGCGAAGACTTACGACCTTTCGACATCAATGATCTGCACTATTCTGAAGAAGCAGGAAGAAATTAAGAAACTTTATATAGCCAAAGGAGTTACCGTTACTTCCAAGCACCGTTCAAAACTCCTAGAAGATGTTGAGAAACTGTTGTTGGTGTAGATTGAAAAGCAGTTAAAAGGTTGGTGGTCGGAAGCTATCATGAAGGTTAAACTATAATTATATTATTTACCAATGTTATTTATTAGAAAAATTTATTTTTATGTTGATATTTTTGGAAGGTGTGGAATGGATTAACTGGATTTCCATTATTTTAAATTGGGAAGTTTGTTTCTAGATACGAGAAATTCGTTATACGAGCTCAACGCTGGAACAAATTAAACTCGTATCTGGAGGTTTCACTGTATACGTATGTGTGTATTCACATACATACATACAAATTTCTGAATCTAGTACTCATAACAGAAAAGTACCCACAATTATACAATCCAACTAACAAGTATTGTTTACATACACTCATTCTCAAAAAGTAATGTTGCTCAGAAAAAAAAAAAAAAAAAAAAAAAGCATCATAAGCTATAATACCTGATGTATCCCCCAAAATGGGGAAAATACAAGATGTGACTTAAAAAAAAAAAAAAAAAAAAAAAAAAACTTTAAAAAAAGTACAGTTGGCAAAAACTATTTGGAATTGTAATGATAGAGTGGGTTTCCAGTAGTCAGACTATTAATCAACACTACTTACATTGCAGTACTAAAATGACTTCGTGAAAAAATTAGGAAAGGAAGGCCATAGTTGTGGAGTGATGGATGGCTGTTGCATCAGGACAGTGTACCCACTTACATAGCCCTATATGTCATGCAATTTCTAACCAGCAAAAACATTACTGTGATGGGGCATTCTCATTATTCACCTGATTTGGTTCCATGCAACTTTTTTTTTATTTCCTAAAGTTAAATCTTGCTTAAAGGGAACCCATTTTACCTCAGTTGGAGAGGTTCAGGCAAAAAAGGAGAATCTCCTGAAGGACTTCCAAAAATATCATTCCAGAATTGTTTACCAGCAATGACAGCACCAAATGCAGAAGTGTGTGAATGATAAAGGAGTACTTTGAAAGTGATAATATCATGGAGAACTGATTCTGTAAGTACAATGATTTATTGGACCAGTCTTGTTTGTTTTGTGTCACACCTCATATATACATATTACAGCTGAAAAAGGAACATACTTCATTCTGCTTTGCTGATGCTTCTAGAAATTCTGCTCGCATGCTTGCTGCAGCTCTTTTCCCTTCTTCAAAAGGAACAACCCTGTTGAAGAAATAAAATTTAGAAAGTTCGTTTAATTACTCCAAAATACAGCATGAAATATGGAAACAAATTTTATGCAAAGGTTATCTTAATCCTTTACAGTTACTGCTAACATGATAATGTTAATTTCCTTTAAAACTCTTGAACCCTTCATGATAAAAATACCAAGGAAATTTATCACAAAAGATGTCAACCTGAACAGGTTTCAAAAGTGTATAATGCACTGCAAACCCGATATCTGGACATCCAATAATGGAAATGATCTATTAGTCAGACCCTCTCTCTCTCTTTTTTTTTTTTTCCTTTTTACAAGAAAACAGAGAATATGATAGTAAGAAAAAGCATGTATGTTTGTAAATCAATTTTTCTCCTAATTAGCTGAGAATTTTCTTATGAAGAAACATTATCTGCAAGAGCACTGAATCATCCTGCATGTTTTTTCCCTTTTAACCTTTTGATGGCCATCAATGAGATCAGCTTGCATTCCAGTCACGCACCACATTGGGCAAATGAACACAGCTTGCATTATGAACCTATGACTGACAGACATTGCACATAGTTGTAAAGAAAGAACAGCTTATTCTTGCAACTGCTGATGGGTTAAACAGCTACCAACTTATAGGCCACATTTTTATTTTCATCTCTTCAACGGCTGGAGGCAGCTGTTTTCTAGCTTATCAATCCTTACACATGGTAAGTAAAGTGAAGACAGAAGAGTCACATCTGACTGAAGCAAAAATCTGATTATTTTGGGAATTCAGTAATTGGATCTTGCACCATGTACTGTACATGAAAATTAGCTTTAAGTTAAATAATCCGAGCTCTGTTACTGATGGTGTAACTTAAAAGTTTATTTGAAACAAGCTACTCGTAGAAAAAAATAATTAAAGCAATTGAAAGTTAAAACAGAGGCATTATATTTATATATAATTTTATTTTTAAAAAACGTTATCTATAGACATCCTCACACTTAGCAAATAAATAATATTAAAATTTTAATATAGAATTTTAAATTCAATTTTGAACTCCACGATTAAGTATTCTAAATAATGCTTCTAATTAAATTCTAAATTAAGTTCTACTTCAAAATTATGCTTTAAAGAAGAATATAACAACTGCTTTAATATCAAAACTACCAAGCTAACATATAAAGGTAAATGAACAAGAAGGTGAGAAATTCCTAATATAAAAAAGTGAGAAGTTGGTAAATATACTTAAATAAATCTTTTGACAATTAAATGTCTCTTCTACACATGCTTACTTGTACCATCATTGTAATGATGTTATCTATAAAATTTAATAAATAAAGTATATCTTTACAACACAATTGCTCTCCAATGTTCTTGTGGATTTAATTTCTTAATTTAATCCCCCCAAAAAATAGAATCGAAATTGGGTTGAATCTCAGTTGAATGAAAATTAAGAATGCAGAATTTTCAGCCTTTTATTTTTGAGATCAGAAGAACATGGTGACATTTTAACTGATGGTATTGGAGAAGATTATGTTACAGATGATATTCCAAATGTTTTAGTTGTTTTTATGTTTAGTTTAATATTAATATTTCTGAAAATAATTTTTAAAATATTCAAAATGAGTTACCAGTCTTAATCTATATATTATTGTTCATATACGACTATAAAAACATTAAAATGTAATTCCCATTTTAAATCAACTGTCCTGGAGGAAAATTTAAAATTAAGTGAAAATTATAATTTTATATGAAATTTAAAAAAAAAATTACTCTTCTCCTCTACAGATGCTGCAACTGCAGTAACTTATAATTATGCCATAATACAAAAACTATTACGTGAAGAAAATAAAAACAAATTTTTAAGAAAAATAATCAAAGAAATATTGTTAAAGAATTAACGTCTAACTCATATTGATGAATACAATTTTTTCTTAGCAGATGAAATTTGTGATAATGGCAAAATGGCCATTCTAATAATGTTTTATTAAACCTAATTTTTAAAACAACTACATTTTTTTGTTGTTGTTGTTTACTGTACTAAAAAAATCATCACATTCTCGTAACAAAAACTGCAAGTTTCAATAGTAATTCAAATTTCCATATGAACCCATTTTTCCCCCAGTACATGAATATATTTTCTAAGTAATATACATACTAATAGCAAATTTTAAAATAAACATATGCGACTAATAATACTTGTTATAAATTAATTAGCTGGTGTGCATGATGATTACTTGATGAGAAATGAGAGTGTAATTATTATTAAAACTCAAGATTTCAGAAAATTTTATTCCATATATAAACTGCTCTTCAGTTTGCTGAAAATCTGTATCATTTTGCATAAATAATGATTAAAAGAAACTGTGTGCATTGTTTTTAAAATACTTTGTTAGCAGTCTATGCATATTGTATATTTCATAAATAAAAGACATTTTATATGTCATTATGTTTGCATAATAAGTGTGAGCAATAACGATTGTCAAAAATTGTATGACCTATATCATAAAGTCTGCCGCCTAGCTGGTATAGTGGTTAGTGACCTTGACTGCCAAAGCGAGGGACTCGGGTTCAAATCCCGGAGAAGGTATGGTTGTAACTTCAGTCCCTTTATAGGAGGCAGCGGTGGCCACCTATTAGGTGCTTCCATAATAAAATGGCCAACACTTCCTGCTCTTGTAGTGAAGTAAGGCTAACGCTATTAAATAAAGTGCTAAGTCATGTTAAAAAAATATATATATATTATAAAGTTTAATTATTATTGTGCTGAAAAACTGCAGTGCATTAAATAAATTATTATTAAAAAAATTGTGTTTAAAAATTTGTTATTATGTTACAAATTTTAATTTAAAAAAATTGCTTAATATCAAGCTATGTAGATTATAAATTTTAAAAATTAAAAACATTTTATGTGATTCTGAAACATTTAAAAATTTTGAAAGTAATTTTATAGTAACTTAATGTATGATTAAATTTTGCTTTTTTGTTAAACTTAATTATGAACTGATCTTGAGTAATATTATTATTCAAAACTGCATTAATTATATTACACTTATTAAGTCTAGTTATTAGTTATGCTGAAAAACTGTAATGTTTTCAATAAATAATGCTTAAATGGAAACAAAGATTTAAGTATCAAGCTGTTTAAATAAATTTTTTTATGAATCGCATAATATTTTTTGTTTTAGATTTGCTTGTCATGGATATGTACTGCAATAAATATTGTGAATTATTTAAAAACAGCTTAAAATTCAAAAGTTAATTTACAGTAATTCACCAGCCTTGCTAACCAGTGAAACAGTCACATTTCTGTCTTGATCAGCTACAAGCCTGTTTCTTTTCCTTTGCCAATTACTAATGATGTCAGGTTGCAGTGCCGAGATCTTGTTATTTTGGTGGTGACGGCTATGCAAATGTAATCCAGTTAACAGACTATGATTTCACTACTGAACATTCATTCAAATGACCATGCACGATTTACAATGCTACCTATTAATTTGCAGTGTACATAGTTTCCAGTCATCACTGTAATGTGTATTATAATTGAACCTTATACCTTAAATGCCTCTTTGGCATGCTATGTATTACTTTTCCCCCCTGAAACAGGCAGTGGGGAGTGATGACGTAGCCATGATGACACTGAGCGTGGAGATGCAACTGACAACATAAAAATTAGCGTTTTAAATCTGAAGAACCAGCGTTTAAAATGAGCTGCGTGTGTGACAGATAGCTATAATTTTTGCTGCAGTATGCATTTTACACCGAACATTCAAAAATTTAATAGTACTTACTCAATTTTAAAATAACAGATCGAATGCGCTACTCTTAGCATAAAGTTCCTTTTTTTTTTTTTTAATTAGCAGGGATTTTTTTTTCCCTTTAAATGCCTGTTTATTTCTAACTATTTCTTTATCTGCATGTTAACTAAGAGAACTGTACTACTGCTTATAAGATAACTATAATAACAGTTATATAAAATTAATCAAAAACCAACCTTAAATTGGTTAAGTTAATTAAGTTTTCAAAGTTTCTGCTAATCTAAGTTTAAGTTTCAGCCTAATTGTAAATTTTACATTACCATATTTTTCTCCCGATTCAATATAATAACATGTATTTTTTAAAATAATTTTGTAACTTAGGCTTACATCAATATTACATTTAAATAAATGCATTAAGATTGTTATCTTAATTTAGACACTCACAGTACCTAAAAAAAATTATTTAATTTTTCAAAAGGGGGGATTAAGGAGGCAGGTTTTCTTATGCCAATTACTTAAGTGTTATACTATTATATTTTATCTAGAATGCTAAGCTAGCATAAAATCGAATCAATAATAACACAGGATACAATAAAACTAACTTTAACAATAACTTAACAAAATTAGTTCTCATTTGAAATATGCTTTACGCTATTGACTTCTAAAATGCCATCTAGAAATATTTCAAATCAAAACATATTAAATATGCTTACTTGTACTTGTCACAATGCAACCACAAGTTGTTGAAATATTATTTATTGGCTACCACATTCGAAGCAATCTACTTTTTTGCCTTTTGGGTTGCTTTTCTTTGGGAAAAAACATATGCATTTCTATTTACGAAATGTATTCTACAGAGCTCTTATGACAATGCAACGTGAAATATCTTCACTAGTCCACCTGATTTTTCCTTCTTTTGTAGCAATGCGTTAATCTGCGTCTTTGTAAAAATATGCTTTAGACGTTTTTCCAAATTCTCTGATCTGTGCTGTTTTTTCCTAAATTTCATTGTTTGGGATTTTAATTTCTGAATTTCTGATACAAATTTCTTCCTAGATGTCGTCCACCTTCTTTGTCCCTGAGCAAACATTCTAAAATTTTTCTTTTCTCTATTTTTCAATATTTTATTACAATTTTCTAAGGATATTATTTTGTTCCTCAAATTATCAATACATTCTTGTTTATCTTTACACTTAGGTCATTCAGAGATATTGTCACTTTTTATTTCAATTCGTTCTCGGCCTCAAAAAAAAAAAAAAAAAAAAAAAAAAAAAAAAAAAAAAAAAATTCTTTGGGCTTAATTCATGTAGTCTTTCAAAAGCACTCTGCATTAGTTTTCCTTTCAAATGTCACCGATTTCTTGGTGTTATTTCATTAACTGCACACGATAAATTTACTTTTGGCACAGTATTGCATTTCAACAGTTTCTTTTGCAGCAATCCAAGTACGTGATTTCTTTTATCATCTTCATAACCACTGCACAGAAAATGTTTGCCGCAAATTCTTGCATTTTTCACATTAATAGAATCCTGTCTTTTATGTATCCATTCTTTCGACAAAAGCAACTTTGGGAAAGTATGAAATACAATATCTCTTCCTTTCGTATTTCTATAAGTGTTATGGCACGTTGCTACAGCACAAGAAGCCATATTACATAAAGGATACTTTAAATATAGAATTCAAAAGGAAAACTGACTAAAACTATAATATATATATATATATATATATATGCAGGAATTATTAAATATTTGCATTATTAGAAAACAAATATGTATGATTAAAATTAATTTGGGATATGCGACCTCCAGAAAATCGTCTCGCAACTGAATGAAACTACAGTTTTAAACTCGTGAAATCGGAGCAGGTGCAACACAGACACATCAGATTACTTCCAGTTAACCCCCTCCATGAGGCTCGCGTCGGCGAGGAGTCGAACAAAAGAATGACCTAGCCCTTCTATTTATCCCTGATTACTTCATCATCCCTTCTGCTATATTTTTCTAAAAACACTGCCTCTCAGGAAGATAACTGCCACTAGATTGGGGGCATTTCATTCCAATTTCTGATTTCCCTGCCAAGACTTAATAAACAGCACTTTTTCTTTGCTGTATGGCAGTTGCACTTATAACTTCACAACCGCCAAAGGCCTTGAGCAAACGAAACACAGGTCAAACCCAACAAGGCTAATGATAATTCCTACAACAAAACCCACTTTAATTTTTTTTAATAAGAAAATACTATTTTGTATGAATAAAATTAGATATTATTCAGTTTGTGCAATTTCAAACACTTTAAGAACAAAAATTTTTCCAAGACTTACAAAAGCCAAATGTAGAATACATAGAATACTACTTACCTTTCCATATGCAAATCTAATTTGTTTCCTACTAGCACAATGGGAACACTGCAAATAAAATTAAATATATTGGAACATACATATATCAGAGCAATAACAATTACCAAAAACAAGTCAGAAATATGGACTTAGGAAATAAAATTATTTTATGAAGATAATCTAAGTAATGGAATCTATATAAAGATAATTCAAAGTAGTAATTTAAGCAAATGGAAGAGAAACATACCAATTTAAAATTATGCAAAAAAAGCAACCACAGTTTGGAAAAAATTTGAAAAGAGCTCAATTTCAAAGGCATTCAGACACAAACCCATTTCTTCAATGGCGTTTTTTTTTTTTTTTCCCCCCAAAAAATGGGAAGAGTAAAACTCTTTTGCCTCAAAAGCAATGTGTGGAGCACAGCGAATGCAATCATAGTACCATCAATCAATGAAAATAGCAATAAAACATGAAAAACTAATATATAAGAATTACGAAAACATTAAAAATGACTATATCAAAAATTAACATCACTAACTAAAGTAAATAAACTTTTGTGAGCATGAAAAGCTTTATAAGAAATCGAGTTCACCAAATGAAGAAATTTTATTGATGATTTTTGCAGAGCTAAATTATCCACCTATAATTAGCTATTGAAAAGCTATTTATTTATACTTTTCAAACTACAGAGGGTGTTTACATAATTTTTAATGGTTTGGGGACCATTTAATTAATTAGCAGTTTGCATTATGATTTTCATGACACTGTCAGGTTTATCCTAAGTTTATAACAGTTATTTTTAAGCTCCTTTCCTATCTCTCCTAATTTCAGCTTGCAATTCCTTACCAGAATGAATTTTTAGAATTGCGTTTAATGCAAATGAGGAGTAGTATTTAAATCGAAGTTCCACCTACTTCGAAAAGGAGAAAAAATCATAATTTCTAAATAGCACACTTTTGCCCTTTGGCTACGTCTCTCTAAGCTGTAACTACGCTCGGCCGTTGTTACGTGCCCTTGACAGCTTCACTAGATAATTTGATATTTAACTTTCTGAAGCCAGCCTGGTACAGCAGTTGTACCAGGAAAATGAATTTCTCTGACGCCGGCATTGGTACAACTGTCGTACCATCCATGCCCTCCCTATTTTAGAAAATCGCCTATCTGTAGATCTCTGGGTGGTCCATTGTCGCTGCTCAGAGTAGCAGCTGGCTACGCATTATTTCCCTCTTCTTATCAGTTTGGCTACATTTTGGCAAAAACCGCAGGTTTCGTCTCGCGCCAATATACTTGAAAATCAAATAGAGGACATCTCTCTCTCAATCTGTCTCATAATTTTAATGCTAATTTTTTTAGTACTGTTGCTGTGATTAAAACGTCAGCGATTTTGCATGCTCTTTAAGCTTACCACATTTAATGTTTTTTAATCATAGCAAATAAGAATAGATTAATATTTTAGATTTAATGCCCTTCTAGAAAATAGGTAAAACCACTTTTATCGTTTACTTTCTTTTCATACTTATGAATAATAAGATTTTATTTTGAAATTTTTTTGTGGAGTGCATAAAACCCTTAAGAACTGTTAACTCTTTCAAAGTGCTTCTATTATGTAGGCAATTTTGTCTGATTTATCAGGAGATAAATAAGAGACAATTGTATGCATAATAGTTTTTGTGATTTTCATTCATTCAGTGATTGCTTTCAATGATTTTCATTGATTGTAAATTAAACAAAATCAATTTATCTTTAGACCCTCTTTTAGGATGAGATCTGCCAAAAAGTATTTAAATATCAGTAAAGCTCACGTTACTTCAAAATTGAATCAAAATATCAGTTACATTGTATAAAATTTCAGCCAGTTTTATTTGCTGAAATTCTTATACTCCTCAAGAGATAAAGGGAAGTTAATAAAAAAAATATCTTTAAAAAAGGTAGTTATTTTGTCTGTAATAAGGTGTATGTCAACTTACTATTAAATGTATAAAAATTAGGATTGAATTACGGAAAAGAACGCGAACGCTATCTTAAGGGGATGGATGCTTTCGTGTAAACATTTTTAAGAGAAAATTGCTCGCATTTACGTTCCTGGTGGAAAACTCCACATGTAATCAACCCGTTCTTCGGGTTTGATTGGATTAATTTTGTTCGCTTACTGAATTACATCAAAGCACACAACAATTACCTGTATAAGGGGAGTTATGCTTTCGCGGAGGACTTTCTAAGAGAAGCTGGCTTGCATTTATGTTACACAAAAACCATGAATCCAACTATTTAGCCGGGATTCAAACCCAAGCGAGCTACAAGTGTTCAGCCACCTTTACTGCTCTACTGAAGAGCCCGTAAAAATATTGATAAAGGAAAAGTATTGAAATAACCGGTTTAATTTACTAACCTATATTTCTCAATCGACAGTACATAAATTACGCATACGAGGGGATTATTTGTGAATAAATAAACTGTATTGCACTTTTCTCCACTATTTCATATTACGATGGAATTATTGCATTTCAAAGTTATTTCTAATGAATTAATTTTGCTCCGTTCATGATTTTTTATATTTTCAAAGAGAAAATTTCACACTTTAAATAAAAAAATACACGAGAAGATACTTTATGCAAAATTTGGTGTAACGGTTTTCTTAATTTTGCTTTGAAAATATTCCAGGGTAATCGTTTTCATTACTGGAAGAAATATGAAAAATAGATTTACTACATTGTGTCAAAACCCAGTATGTCCTTATTCTTTTGAAAATGTGAAAGATTACTCTTTCTAAAATAAATTAGAAAATATATTATGTGCAAATAGAAATGAATAGAAAATGAAATAGACTTCAACCTTTGGATATAACGATGGTTTTAGACGAAATTTCTACCTATGAAAAGAAATTGACATATAATCAATTCTTCATGAACATTTAAAACTGTTCTCAAAATTCTTTTGATGATTGCATGTATAAGTCACAGACTTTTTTTTTCTGCTAACATAAACAAAAGCCTCCTTTGCCTGTAATATTTGTTAAAGTTAAATGATGAAATGCAACCAATGTATCTCGGATTTTGATTTTTATATTATAATAACAAAATTATCAAAAAAAGCAGATTTAAATCTCTGTTATTGTTATGTAAAGCTTTATTATTGCTGTAAGTTCATCTTAAAATCTAATTGAATTGAATCTCATTCTAATCATCTAATGGTAATAAATATTATTATTATTATTTCATTAAATTAGACATTACCATTATTTTGTTAATGAAAATATGCTATTAAAAATCGCATTCCAGCCTACAGACTTACAAAGCTAGTCCGTATTTACTATATTTTGTTAAATTTTGTTCTCGTTTTCTAATTTCTAATACGAAAATACGCAAATATAAATGAAGAGTGAAAACAAAGTTAAAAAATTCACAAATTATTTACGAGATTGATCAGAAATAGTGAGTGAAATATAAACATTGCATACATTTTGTTCTAAATAAATTGTGCACTGTATATGCATCCAGTACTGCATATTTATTTATGCACTATTTATTTAGAACTTCATTTATATGAATGCAAAATAATCATCGAAAAAATCGCAAATCTAGCAACCCCTCTACTATGGGACGTAAGCGTCCGACAAACATGTAAATTTTACTTCATCCATGGAAAGGGACTAACGACTTTTCTCATTAGGAAAATGTCAAAGAGGAAGCAAAACTGTTTCGGATCGTGCCAGGATATATTACGAGAATTTCGGCCCGGTTTTAGAAGGTTAAGGGGCAACTAGTTTAAATCAGTGTTAGCTTCAGCTAAATCGCTATAGTTAATCATTAGTTAAGTTCTTATTTCTTATACTTTTTAGTTTAAGCCAAAGTGGAGGCTTTGCTGTACACCAGGAGAGAGGGGTTGACTGTATACCTTTATTTTGAGCAATAAGGGGTAATTAACCCTTCGTGAGTTTATGTTTCTATTTCTGAACTTAAGAAATTATTCGTTTAGCTGTTCATAATGTTTCTCAACACTTAGTGATTAGATAAAAGGCAGAAACACTACAATAGAACAGTCTTTTATAAAATTTCCATGGGTATTGATTTCCATTCCTCTTCCACTACTTCCAAGAATTCATCAATTGTGGTGGCTTTGCACTAAGAAAGAGCTTCTTTTAGACTAAAGGCACAACAGTCAAACTGCAGGGGACTTTGCAGAAATATGTTAAAAAGGTAAATATGCAATACCTGTATCAGTCTTCATTTTTTCAAGGAATGCAGTGGTACTTTTCGAAGTATGATTTGCAGCTTTGCCTTGATATAGTTTCACTCTCTTAAAATCATTGGGATAAATAAAGGAATGGAATTTCTTCAGCAAATATTGGACATTCTCCGAGTTGATTAAAACCGTTTTCCTATTCTTCTCATTTTTAATTTCCCATTGTACAAGAATCCTACGATAGTCATAAACCCCTTCCTCAAACTTTCTTTGCATTGACAGAACCATGTTTGTAAATTTTTTCCCCTTCATTTTCAATAATACATAGATATTTTTTATTGCAGTCATTTAGGTAAAACCATGCTTCATCATGATCACAATATATTTCCATTTATCTTCTGCTAAATATTGGGAGTACAAATAAGTCTCCCCTTCCTTCTTTTCCAAAATTGGTCATGTAGAGTGAAAAAACAGTACACTATTTTATTCAAGTAGTGACCATCACTAACCACTACCTTTCCCATCTTTCTGGCAGTATACGGATACCGCATCAGAAGAAAGCTTCATCTTTCGAGGCTATCCACAAATCAACCCAATTTTTGGTATCTTCACATGATATGTGAAATTCTATCAGACATCATCAATTGAAATAAGTAGTAATCAGAAGAAAATGCAATTTTTTCTGATTTGATTTTTTTTTTTTTTTTTCTTTTTTTTTTTTTTTTTTTTTTTTTTTTTTTTTTTTTTTTTTTTTTTTTTTGAATGCAGCAGGAGGGGTAATATTTCTCCTTTGAGTGTTTCCAATTGATGCCACAACATGTGGATGAGCGTTATCATGCAAGAAGATAGCTTAGTCATGTCTGGATGCATTTTTCTTTGCAGCCTCG